GCAAGGGGGCACCGGGGGAGGAGGGGCAGGCTGAGCGCGGGGGAGCGTGGAGGGGGCAGAGTGACGCCAGTTCGGGGGTTCAGGGGCCTGTGAACCCCTCCCCCCGGGGCACTAGGGCCGTCGGCCTGCCCCATGGCCACGCCCAGCCTGCGCCGCGCTGCGTCTCGCAGCAGTGACCCCTCTGCTCCACGGGCCGGCGGAGTCACATCTGGCCGCGGTCGGGGTGCGGGGTCGGGGGCCCCACGTGCCGGCACACGCCCTGCCTCACTCCCTTGGGTTGCTGCAGAAGCGGTGGGAGAACGAGCGGCTGCTGCAGGCCAAGCAGAAGGCCTACGAAGAGGAGAATCTGTACGAGGTGAGCGGGGCCCCGTGGGAGCATCGGGGGCTCATGGGGGGGGACTCAACCTTTGCCCCTCACAACACTAGGGCAGAGCGGGGTCACTAGACTGTGCCCGAGGGGCGCTGGGCTGCAGGCAGTGGGGGGTTCTGTGGGGGACCCTGGCCCGTATCACAGTGGTTCTAGACACCCCACCGCTGCGGTGGGAATACCGTGGGGCCGGGCGTCGGTGGCGAGGGCTGAGCCCCTCCATTGGCCCCAGACAAGCCAGCCCGTTTCGCTGCTCTAGGGCCTGAACCTGGACGAGTGCTCCATGTACGAGGACATCTCGCGAGGCCTGCAGGCCACCTACCAGGACGTGGCCAACATCCGAGTGCTCGACATGCAGCTGGAGAAGCCGTGAGGGGTCACTGTGGGGCTGGCAGGGGGACTGGCCAGTTTGCCCCCAGGCTGCCATGCAAGGCCTCTGGCAAACGCTTGTGACCTTGGCTGTGAGCCATATGTCTGGGTACAGGGGTGAGGGGAGGGGGGCGGCTGCTCATCACCAGGGGACAGCCTGTTGGGCCACGTGTCACTTGAACACGGTCCACGTCACAATGGTGCCTGTTCCACACAGGGCAACAGGCGGGGAAAGCTGCCGGGGAAATCTGGCAGCAGCGGGCACCCTGCCGGCAAGGGAAGAGGGTGGGCCCCTGGGTGGGCCCCTGCACCCTCAGCCAGGTACCGCTCACTCGGGGACAGACTGCCAATGCGCTTGTCTTCCAGCCAGCCCGTCGCAGCTGGCACAGTCGCTAGTTTGGATGAGCTAAGCTTCATTAAAGCAGCAGCATCTTGCGAGCTAACCGGTCCAGAAAGCCTGTTGTTCCTCCAGCCGCCTCCTGCTGTCACTCCAGTCTCGGTTTCCAGGTGTTTCCTCTCTAGAGGAGGGGCTGTGCTGGAGGCGGAGCGGCGGCGACGGGACGGGTTTCTCTGGTTTTCCTTTCTTTTGCCAAGGCGTTTCTCTGCTACTGGGGCTTCTCACGGAGGATGTGGAGGCAGAAAGGCCCCATCACGAGCTGACTCGCTCCCAGCCAGGGTTACGCCCCGAGGTCTAGTCTCCAGCGCCTCGCAGGACGACGGAGGCTTCTTGCTGAGGTGCAGCGCCTCACTCCTGCCCCAAACGGGGCTTCTCTAGGTTCAGATTCTTGGGGACTTTGGCATGGAGGGGTGTGCACTGCCCTGCCCAGACTCGGGAGACTCGCCCTTCTCCCCGCCTCATGCCCCAGCTCTGACATCGTGCGGCTGCTCTGCTCCCACTAGCAGCCAGGCCCCTAGGGACGGGGCAGGTGTTTTTCCGGCATGTCTTGCTGCGATGCAGGACAATCATCCTTCGCCTCCTGTCAGTCAGTCTAGCCCCATGGCCTGTTTCTCTGCACAGACCATCAGCTGAACCCGTTGGGACATGCTGCAGCTGCAACTGCATCTGAACAGGGGCCTCTCCCTGATGCTCTGAGCTACCCCAACAGGAATATTTGCTGCTCAAGAACAAGCCGTTTCCTTTCCAGAGGGAGTGGCTGCTGTTGGCCATGACAGGCTGTGGCTGTGTAAGGCGGAGGGGGAGGGGGCATGAGGTTAGAACAGACGGGGTCAGGCCAATGGTCCATCCAGCCCAGCGTCCTGTCTGCCCACAGCGCCAGAGGGAGGGATAATCTTCATGCGATCCCTCCTGTCACCCACCTCCAGGGAAACAGTCACCCAGGGACACCATCCCTACCCATCCCGCCTAACAGCCATTGCTGGACCTCACCTCCGGGACTCTCTCTAGCTCTTTTTTGTTAAGTTCTAGCCTTCAGCACAGCCCCCGGCGAGGGGTTCCACAGGCTGACTGTGCACGGAGTGAAGAACAACGTCCTTTGGTTTGTTCTGAAGTGTGTGGGAACAGAGCGGTATCCGCTCAGCTCCTTTACCCCATTTACCACAGTGACAGCGCCATGCGGCTCCACTCTTTCAGCTCAGAGTCCAATGGTTTTGTGGCCCCCTCCCCTTTACTGTCACAGTAACTGTCGGAGTAAACTTGTGCGAGGGACAGTGCTACATACAGCCCAGCGACCACAGTGACGTCATGCACTCGGCTGCACAGGCTAGAGTAACGTTCCCATGGCTCTCGCAGTGAGGGCTAGGCGCTGGAGTCCAGGGCAGGTGCCGTACTACCAGCACAATCCAGTGTCTTCCCTCCAGCAGCCCTCTCTCCCCTCCTGCATTCCCTGGTTTGCAGAGGGTTACGTCTAGCCTCTGTACGCTAGGAGGGAAGCTGGGCAAACTTCACTCGCATTAACTACATTTTGGGACAATGAATAGAAATGTGAGTCTGCTGCTCCATCTGCTGGAGCAGGTCCTGTAGCTCAGGCACAGAAGCGGATGCCCTGAGCGCCTGCTGCTTTGGGCTCCATCTCCACGCAAGACTATGAGAGCCGTCTCTTTAGAAGCTCATTTTATTAACACCAGCTTAAAGAAATTCTGTTCAGACGAAAACTATTGTCTTCCCGAGATGGAGAGAATGAATTAATGGGAACAAAACCTGAGTAACAGAGTTAACTGGCAGAGAGCTTTGGTAAGTCAGCCCCCGCGGGAGACTGACCAGAGCTCCAGGCGCCGCCCCACCAGTACCTATCCTGAGTTAGTCCCCAGCCTTGCCTTGCTCGCTTGACCTCCTGTTGATACAGTCGGACTAACTCTTGCCTGCTGCCTGGCTCCTACTGCACTAGCCATGGGACCTGGTGTGACAGGCTGGTGAGAGGAAGAACCAAGAGGTTTGTATAAGGACCCCCGTGCTCTCACCCCGGCCTGGCACCCCCTCAGACAGTGGCAAGGCTGCACAAAGCACAGACAGGGGTTGGAGGGGATTCCTGCACACCCAAGCCTAACAGCACCGCTTTGCTGCTGCCCTTGTTGGGCACGAGCCAAGCCTCCTCCAGACAGGCCCAGCAGGACGCTGAGGAAAGCAGAGGGGCCGAGGCAGCGGCCCAGCTTAGTGAACAAAGGCCCTCGGGGGTAGGAGGGAAGCGCCCCTCCACGCCTATAGGAGCAGAGCGGAAGGGCGTTACCCTGAGCACCGCGGTCACTAACCCAGAGCTCCCTGCCACACCCACAATCCCGCCTCCGGGGAGGGGCCAACGCCCAGAGCCCGGCCCGCTGGGCCGTTAGGGCTGGAAGAAGCACTGAGGGCCAGCATGTGGGTGAAGCCCCAGCTGGGGAAGGCGAGCCCCAGCCCCGCCCCTTCCCCTCGAGGCCCTGCCCCTTCCGGGAGTGCGGAGCCGCTCCCTGGCTTCCACTGATTGACGTGCAGCCCTCGTGTCAGTCAGCTGCCCGCTCTCACAGCTGTTGTCCCCGAGGTGTTTCCCACTAGGCGTGGGTGCGGCGGTGTCTGGCGAGGTGTGACGATCGGCTGAACCTCTTCCCGCACTCCGGGCACTGAAAGGGCCTCTCTCCCGTGTGGGTGTGGCGGTGGGTGGCGAGGGGGGATGAACAGCTGAACCTCTTCCCGCACTCCGGGCACTGAAAGGGCCTCTCTCCCGTGTGGGTGTGGCGGTGGGTGGCGAGGGGGGATGAACAGCTGAACCTCTTCCCGCACTCCGGGCACTGAAAGGGCCTCTCTCCCGTGTGGGTGTGGCGGTGGGTGGCGAGGGGGGATGAACAGCTGAACCTCTTCCCGCACTCCGGGCACTGAAAGGGCCTCTCTCCCGTGTGGGTGTGGCGGTGGGTGGCGAGGGGGGATGAACAGCTGAACCTCTTCCCGCACTCCGGGCACTGAAAGGGCCTCTCTCCCGTGTGGGTGTGGCGGTGGGTGGCGAGGGGGGATGAACAGCTGAACCTCTTCCCGCACTCCGGGCACTGAAAGGGCCTCTCTCCCGTGTGGGTGTGGCGGTGGGTGGCGAGGGGGGATGAACAGCTGAACCTCTTCCCGCACTCCGGGCACTGAAAGGGCCTCTCTCCCGTGTGGGTGTGGCGGTGGGTGGCGAGGGGGGATGAACAGCTGAACCTCTTCCCGCACTCCGGGCACTGAAAGGGCCTCTCTCCCGTGTGGGTGTGGCGGTGGGTGGCGAGGGGGGATGAACAGCTGAACCTCTTCCCGCACTCCGGGCACTGAAAGGGCCTCTCTCCCGTGTGGGTGCGGCGGTGGGTGGCGAGGTCGGATGACTGGCTGAACCTCTTCCCGCATTCCGGGCACTGAAAGGGCCTTTCTCCCGTGTGGGTGCGGTGGTGTTTGGTGAGGGTGGATGAACAGCTGAACCTCTTCCCGCACTCCGGGCACTGAAAGGGCCTCTCTCCCGTGTGGGTGTGGCGGTGGGGGGCGAGGTGGGATGATTGGCTGAACCTCTTCCCGCATTCCGGGCACTGAAAGGGCCTCTCTCCCGTGTGGGTGTGGCGGTGGGGGGCGAGGTGGGATGATTGGCTGAACCTCTTCCCGCATTCCGGGCACTGAAAGGGCCTCTCTCCCGTGTGGGTGTGGCGGTGGGTGGCGAGGTGGGATGAACAGCTGACCCTCTTCCCACATTGATTGGATTTCTCTCCCATATGACTATGCTGATGTTTAACCAGGTGTGATGGCCTGTGGAAATTTTGCCCACACTTGCTGCAGGAATACCACTTCTGTCTGCAACTGCCACCCCGCTCCTCCCCTGCATCACTTGGTGTATGTGGCTCCCTCTTTGTGTCTGTCCACTGCTGTGGTGGCAGGTTTGACAATAAAGCAAAAGCCTCTCTACCTCCTACCCCTTCTCTCTGTCCTTGTAAAGGTGCTTTCTTTCCCCGTGCACTTTTACTCACAGAGCTGCAATTTGGTGTCAGCTGCTGTGTTGGTGGGTCCCACGGGAAGGCAAGACCTCCAGTTTTAGGACAAGATTCCCCTCCCAGAGCATCTTCTTCAGTCTGCAATCCAGTGGGCAGGTGCTTATGCTTCAAGTGTTGGCTGAGGTAATCTTTGCTGCTGAAAGCCAGCCTGCAGCGAGGGCATGGATGGCAGTGTGGCTCCTGCCCACGCACTGTGTCCAAAAAACAAATCAGAATTCAGATAGGAAGTGACAATTGTTCCAATGTGCTGACCCTGCCAGAGGCTCTGTGCTACTATCCTGCCACATAGGAAGGGCCAAGAGCACCAATTAGTTTTAGGATCCAGAATGAACCATTCCCTGGAGTACCGGACCTTATGGGTGACGCCTCTCCAGGGTTCAGTTTGATTCCCTGAACGTCAGCCAGACTGGGACCAAAAGCCATGCCTAGTTGTCCGGGGTCCCTGCCACGAGTGTCATTTTCTTTCTCTTCTCTCCCAGCTGGTGGGGTTCTAAACCAGTCCCTGCAGGCCCCTCTCTCCCAGGGCCAGCGGAGTAAGCCATGGCAAAGAGTTATATCGATTGGCATTTAGAAATTGCCCTCCCCCGTAGTCCTTAGGAGCTAAGAGCAGAGACCTCCTCTCCGTGATGACCCTCCAGTGTCTCCTCCCCCTCTTCGCCGCGCTGGGTGTTTTGCAGCGATAGCTGTGCATTGATGCTCTGAGCCCAGGGGCACTCGGCAGTGGAGACCTGATGACTTTGAGGAACCCCTGGCTACACCCCTCCAAAGCCTTCCCCCACCTTTAAGCTACTCTTGAAGATATCAAAAACAACTTGTATAGATTTAGTTTCTGAACTCGGGCATCCTGGACAGTGAGGGTAGCAGGTGGCTTTGCACCCATGGTAACACTGAAGCTATTTTTACCCACTCTTTGTAGATCACCTGACAGAGTCCTGGCTGGTTAGTTTAATTTTAAATACTGTTCTTCCTGTTTTCAGTCTCAGCCTTCAGCTCCCATTAGAAAGCAGATTCTGAGGTCGAATTGGGTTGGAAAATAAAGTCATGGGAAGAGCAGGAGGGGCACCTGACAGTGTTGCAGCTGTTAGGCTGGGAACTCCCGCATGTCAGCAGCTGCGTCTCCCCTGGGTCCCTGTCTCTCAGCTATTTGATATAAGGAACTTGGTGGCTGCCGTCCTAAACGGTGCCAGGGAGATCCCAGAGACTGGCTGTTGAGAATCACTGAGCTGAGAACCCCCTATACATGGATGTGTTGGAGGTTTTGCCAGTAGCTGAGCAGACGGCAGCTGAAGAGGGAGGTTCTTCAGCAGACCCTCTTCTAGGGCAGGGATAGTCAGCAGGCAGGCCAAGGCCCGAATCCAGCCCACCCGATGCTTTGAACAGACTGAAATGTTGACTTATTGCCATTCTAGTTATAGCAATGTGCAAAATGTTTCTCCAGAGTTTGGATTTTGGATATACCCAGGGCTGTTCATACAGGTTTCGGGGCCTGGGACACCCCCCTCCACCCCAGGCTCCACTCCTGCCCTGACTCTTCCTGCCCCTGCTGCGTCCCTCCGCCCCATCGCACCTCTTCTCCCAAGCCCCCTCCCCTGAGTGACAGCAAGGGTCCCCAGCCCGCTGGACTCTGCAGAGCCCAACCCCCAGCCTCATGGCTTGGGGGAGTGGAGCAGACTGGGGCTGGGGTGCTCTGCTTCCCTCCACTGCAGTGAGGCAGAGCATTCCCTCTCGCAGAGGGCGGGACGGCGCAGGGCAGGCTGGTGGGTCATGCCACCACTGGTGAGTGAAGGGGTGGGCCTGACACCTGCTGCCAGTGCCAGGCCCTCCGTTAATCCTCCAGCCCCCTGTCCCCCACAGGACCCCGCTCCCTGCAAGTGCAGGACCCGGGGTGGCTGCCCCAAATCATCCTATGCGCAGGATGGCTTGGGCTATATCTTTGACAAAACAATGGATCCCTTTGTTCTAGGGAGAGCAGAGCGCTCCCCGAATTAGGCCCATTCCAGCCATTAGTGGCAGTGCTGGCTGCAGCGTCGCCCTTCCCCAGCTCCCCTCATCGCAGTTACACTGGAGATGGCCCCAGGGCGTTCGTGACAGAGAGGGCAGGGTGAGGCGTGGGAGTGCCTGGTGCTTACGGACTTTGCCGTGCCCACAAGCCAGGGGCAGGGTGAGGCGGGGGAGTGCCTGGTGCTTACGGACTGTCCCGTGCACACAAGCCAGGGGCAGGGCGAGACGTGGGAGTGCCTGGTGCTTACCGACTGTGCCGTGCACACAAGCCAGGGCAGGGGGAGGCGTGGGAGTGCCTGGTGCTTACGGACTTTGCCGTGCCCACAAGCCAGGGGCAGGGTGAGGCGGGGGAGTGCCTGGTGCTTACGGACTGTCCCGTGCACACAAGCCAGGGGCAGGGCGAGACGTGGGAGTGCCTGGTGCTTACCGACTGTGCCGTGCACACAAGCCAGGGCAGGGGGAGGCGTGGGAGTGCCTGGTGCTTACGGACTTTGCCGTGCCCACAAGCCAGGGGCAGGGTGAGGCGGGGGAGTGCCTGGTGCTTACGGACTGTCCCGTGCACACAAGCCAGGGGCAGGGCGAGACGTGGGAGTGCCTGGTGCTTACCGACTGTGCCGTGCACACAAGCCAGGGCAGGGGGAGGCGTGGGAGTGCCTGGTGCTTACGGACTTTGCCGTGCCCACAAGCCAGGGGCAGGGTGAGGCGGGGGAGTGCCTGGTGCTTACGGACTGTCCCGTGCACACAAGCCAGGGGCAGGGCGAGACGTGGGAGTGCCTGGTGCTTACCGACTGTGCCGTGCACACAAGCCAGGGCAGGGGGAGGCGTGGGAGTGCCTGGTGCTTACGGACTTTGCCGTGCCCACAAGCCAGGGGCAGGGTGAGGCGGGGGAGTGCCTGGTGCTTACGGACTGTCCCGTGCACACAAGCCAGGGGCAGGGCGAGACGTGGGAGTGCCTGGTGCTTACCGACTGTGCCGTGCACACAAGCCAGGGCAGGGGGAGGCGTGGGAGTGCCTGGTGCTTACGGACTTTGCCGTGCCCACAAGCCAGGGGCAGGGTGAGGCGGGGGAGTGCCTGGTGCTTACGGACTGTCCCGTGCACACAAGCCAGGGGCAGGGCGAGACGTGGGAGTGCCTGGTGCTTACCGACTGTGCCGTGCACACAAGCCAGGGCAGGGGGAGGCGTGGGAGTGCCTGGTGCTTACGGACTTTGCCGTGCCCACAAGCCAGGGGCAGGGTGAGGCGGGGGAGTGCCTGGTGCTTACGGACTGTCCCGTGCACACAAGCCAGGGGCAGGGCGAGACGTGGGAGTGCCTGGTGCTTACCGACTGTGCCGTGCACACAAGCCAGGGCAGGGGGAGGCGTGGGAGTGCCTGGTGCTTACGGACTTTGCCGTGCCCACAAGCCAGGGGCAGGGTGAGGCGGGGGAGTGCCTGGTGCTTACGGACTGTCCCGTGCACACAAGCCAGGGGCAGGGCGAGACGTGGGAGTGCCTGGTGCTTACCGACTGTGCCGTGCACACAAGCCAGGGCAGGGGGAGGCGTGGGAGTGCCTGGTGCTTACGGACTTTGCCGTGCCCACAAGCCAGGGGCAGGGTGAGGCGGGGGAGTGCCTGGTGCTTACGGACTGTCCCGTGCACACAAGCCAGGGGCAGGGCGAGACGTGGGAGTGCCTGGTGCTTACCGACTGTGCCGTGCACACAAGCCAGGGCAGGGGGAGGCGTGGGAGTGCCTGGTGCTTACGGACTTTGCCGTGCCCACAAGCCAGGGGCAGGGTGAGGCGGGGGAGTGCCTGGTGCTTACGGACTGTCCCGTGCACACAAGCCAGGGGCAGGGCGAGACGTGGGAGTGCCTGGTGCTTACCGACTGTGCCGTGCACACAAGCCAGGGCAGGGGGAGGCGTGGGAGTGCCTGGTGCTTACGGACTTTGCCGTGCCCACAAGCCAGGGGCAGGGTGAGGCGGGGGAGTGCCTGGTGCTTACGGACTGTCCCGTGCACACAAGCCAGGGGCAGGGCGAGACGTGGGAGTGCCTGGTGCTTACCGACTGTGCCGTGCACACAAGCCAGGGCAGGGGGAGGCGTGGGAGTGCCTGGTGCTTACGGACTTTGCCGTGCCCACAAGCCAGGGGCAGGGTGAGGCGGGGGAGTGCCTGGTGCTTACGGACTGTCCCGTGCACACAAGCCAGGGGCAGGGCGAGACGTGGGAGTGCCTGGTGCTTACCGACTGTGCCGTGCACACAAGCCAGGGCAGGGGGAGGCGTGGGAGTGCCTGGTGCTTACGGACTTTGCCGTGCCCACAAGCCAGGGGCAGGGTGAGGCGGGGGAGTGCCTGGTGCTTACGGACTGTCCCGTGCACACAAGCCAGGGGCAGGGCGAGACGTGGGAGTGCCTGGTGCTTACCGACTGTGCCGTGCACACAAGCCAGGGCAGGGTGAGGCGTGGGAGTGCCTGGTGCTTACGGACTGTGCTGTGCACACAAGCCAGGGGCAGGGGGAGGCGTGGGAGCGCCTGGTGCTTACGGACTGCGCCGGGCACACAAGCCAGGGGCAGGGGGAGGCGTGGGAGCGCCTGGTGCTTACGGACTGCGCCGGGCACACAAGCCAGGGGCAGGGGGAGGCGTGGGAGCGCCTGGTGCTTACGGACTGCGCCGGGCACACAAGCCAGGGGCAGGGGGAGGCGTGGGAGCGCCTGGTGCTTACGGACTGCGCCGGGCACACAAGCCAGGGGCAGGGGGAGGCGTGGGAGCGCCTGGTGCTTACGGACTGCGCCGGGCACACAAGCCAGGGGCAGGGGGAGGCGTGGGAGCGCCTGGTGCTTACGGACTGCGCCGGGCACACAAGCCAGGGGCAGGGGGAGGCGTGGGAGCGCCTGGTGCTTACGGACTGCGCCGGGCACACAAGCCAGGGGCAGGGGGAGGCGTGGGAGCGCCTGGTGCTTACGGACTGCGCCGGGCACACAAGCCAGGGGCAGGGGGAGGCGTGGGAGCGCCTGGTGCTTACGGACTGCGCCGGGCACACAAGCCAGGGGCAGGGGGAGGCGTGGGAGCGCCTGGTGCTTACGGACTGCGCCGGGCACACAAGCCAGGGGCAGGGGGAGGCGTGGGAGCGCCTGGTGCTTACGGACTGCGCCGGGCACACAAGCCAGGGGCAGGGGGAGGCGTGGGAGCGCCTGGTGCTTACGGACTGCGCCGGGCACACAAGCCAGGGGCAGGGGGAGGCGTGGGAGCGCCTGGTGCTTACGGACTGCGCCGGGCACACAAGCCAGGGGCAGGGGGAGGCGTGGGAGCGCCTGGTGCTTACGGACTGCGCCGGGCACACAAGCCAGGGGCAGGGGGAGGCGTGGGAGCGCCTGGTGCTTACGGACTGCGCCGGGCACACAAGCCAGGGGCAGGGGGAGGCGTGGGAGCGCCTGGTGCTTACGGACTGCGCCGGGCACACAAGCCAGGGGCAGGGGGAGGCGTGGGAGCGCCTGGTGCTTACGGACTGCGCCGGGCACACAAGCCAGGGGCAGGGGGAGGCGTGGGAGCGCCTGGTGCTTACGGACTGCGCCGGGCACACAAGCCAGGGGCAGGGGGAGGCGTGGGAGCGCCTGGTGCTTACGGACTGCGCCGGGCACACAAGCCAGGGGCAGGGGGAGGCGTGGGAGCGCCTGGTGCTTACGGACTGCGCCGGGCACACAAGCCAGGGGCAGGGGGAGGCGTGGGAGCGCCTGGTGCTTACGGACTGCGCCGGGCACACAAGCCAGGGGCAGGGGGAGGCGTGGGAGCGCCTGGTGCTTACGGACTGCGCCGGGCACACAAGCCAGGGGCAGGGGGAGGCGTGGGAGCGCCTGGTGCTTACGGACTGCGCCGGGCACACAAGCCAGGGGCAGGGGGAGGCGTGGGAGCGCCTGGTGCTTACGGACTGCGCCGGGCACACAAGCCAGGGGCAGGGGGAGGCGTGGGAGCGCCTGGTGCTTACGGACTGCGCCGGGCACACAAGCCAGGGGCAGGGGGAGGCGTGGGAGCGCCTGGTGCTTACGGACTGCGCCGGGCACACAAGCCAGGGGCAGGGGGAGGCGTGGGAGCGCCTGGTGCTTACGGACTGCGCCGGGCACACAAGCCAGGGGCAGGGGGAGGCGTGGGAGCGCCTGGTGCTTACGGACTGCGCCGGGCACACAAGCCAGGGGCAGGGGGAGGCGTGGGAGCGCCTGGTGCTTACGGACTGCGCCGGGCACACAAGCCAGGGGCAGGGGGAGGCGTGGGAGCGCCTGGTGCTTACGGACTGCGCCGGGCACACAAGCCAGGGGCAGGGGGAGGCGTGGGAGCGCCTGGTGCTTACGGACTGCGCCGGGCACACAAGCCAGGGGCAGGGGGAGGCGTGGGAGCGCCTGGTGCTTACGGACTGCGCCGGGCACACAAGCCAGGGGCAGGGGGAGGCGTGGGAGCGCCTGGTGCTTACGGACTGCGCCGGGCACACAAGCCAGGGGCAGGGCCAGGCTGTAGCGCGGTACCTTTGGGTGGCGCTGCGCTCTTCCATCTCGTGCCCCACTTGATGCCCAGCTCCTTGCCGTACTCGTCCCCGTACCAGACCAGGAGCTCGCAGTGCGGCGGGATGGCCCTGCACACTCTGTAGTAGATTTTCCCATGATACTGGAAAGCAACAAGGTTCTGTTCTTCCTCATCCCGAGCACAGTTAACGTACCTGCACGTTCGCCGGGAAGGAAGGGTTTGTTAGCCATATGGTCTTTGGATGGGGAAGTGCCAGTCGAAGAGCGAGACAACACAGCAGTGACATGGCCACAGCATGTTCCTTAATGGGATGAATAGATTAGTGGTCCAAGCCAGGAGATTTCAGATGTCACTGGCTAGGCACTGAAAACTACATCGGGTGGAGGAAAGCCAAATATCTGCACAGCTTTCGTAGAAAGGGAATTCCGAGGAAGGAAGCTTCCTTCTCTGTGCCTGGGTACGAGAGGGCTAATGCCTCTCCCCATCTAGGCACTGTTTTGGTTTTGGAGTTTGTGGTGCAACCTTAATGCTGAGACTGTGATGCTGTGAATGCTGACACGACAAGGGAAGTAACTTCCTGCTTGGAGGCTGTTTCTGGGGCCACAATCTGTAAAAATGAATCCTGTGTCTTCATATACCTGAAACACTGACCCTCCCGGAGCCAAGATTCTCTAAGGTCACACTGGAGAGGACAGGAGAACAGGGACTTACCTCATCCAGTTGGCATTAGCTTCATCCTTTCCATCGATGTACATGTACCAGTTTCTTCCTCTGGTGATCTGGAGTGGAACCAAAGACGACTCAAGAGGGCACTCTTCCATCAGCGAATGAGGGAAGTAAGTGACAACGGTCATTCTTTGGGTTCACTGTGTCCTGAACACAGTTCAGAAGAAATCCACACACACAACCGGCAGGGCCAAAGCAGCGCTCACAGTGACACATCCAATGGGGCTGCCCGGTGGGACTGACAGGACAACCTGGGCCTTGAAACAGTGTCTCCCAAACTCTGAGAGTGCTACCACCATCAAGAAAACTAAGCCAACTGCACCCCCAGAATAGACACTGTGAGAACGGCTGATGTAAGGGCACAGTACTAAAACATTAATGAATAGAAGGGAGCCTGTGCCAAGGAGCACGCTTCGCCTCCTGCCTTTCACACTCCGATGCACTAGAACATGGCCCAGTGTTATATGGACACCCAGCACGATGGGCAATTCATACCAGCCAGGAATAGCCATTGTGTGCGGCTTCCTCCTCCTCCGTTATCCTTCCGTCGTATGGGCCAAAATGAACTCCCACTGGTAGGGTGTCCGCCTCATTCCAGACTCCAAGCCCAGCCTGTGGGATACTTGAAAGCCCAATTCTCATCCCTGGGGGCAACGTGAGAGCTGCTCTCCTCTCCTGTCCTGTCTCTACTACTGGGTCTTTGATGAAAACCGGGGGGCCGTGAACTGAACACTCATCAGTGAAGAAGGTCAGGCACGCCTCGCAGACTAGGAGAGGAAGAGAAATAGAGACGGACTCCATCAGTTAGTGTCTGCTCCACTCCCCTCGCCCCGTCTGCACACCTGGCCATTAATCCCATCACACAGGCGGGTGAGTTACATCCTGGGCAGCTGCTCTGCAGCTGTTATACGTGGGCTGAGCGGCAGAGAGTCATTCCCCATATCAGAGGCACATTTTCAGAGAGTTTCTGCCAGGCGGTCGATTGGCTCCAGCAAGCACTCCGTGGAAAGTGGACACAGCAGCTGCAGATCGCTGTGAATGTGTCACCCAATGCTTAGTTCTCTGCACTGGTTCCTTAGGCCATGTCTACACTACAGAGAAGATCGAGGCAGCCAGGGGGCGGGGCCCAGCCATGTACATCACTATCTCACCCCCCTTTGCCTCCCGCCCCTCCTGCCTCTCACTCTCTTTCCGCTCTCCCAAACGGCCGCTTACTCTGCTTGCTCCCCCGCGGCGGCCTGGCTGAGCAGCGCAGAAGTTAGCTGAGCGTCATGGTGGGGGGTAAAGGGGAGTGGGGTGGTGACGTGTGATGTGACAGCAGCTCCAGGCCCTGCTCCCTGGCCGTGAACAGACCCTGGCCAGGGGGAGGGGGGAACAAGAGGGAGGGGGAGAGGGAGGGGAAGGTGGAGGACAACTGGGAGGCTGCAGGATCAGTGCTGGGGTGAAGGAAAATGGTGCAGGGGGGCAGCTGGAGCTCATAGGCAGCCGCTCAGCCGGGCTGCCACATGGGAGCAAGTGGTGCAAACAGCCTTTTGGGCTCCACGTTCCCCATGCAGGAGGAGGAGGAGAAGAGAGAATGAGAGGCAGGAGGGGGAGAAGAGAAAGAGAGATGGAGAGAGAGGCAGGAAATAGAGGAGAGCTGAGAGAGAGAGAGGGGGAGGCAGTAGGAGGAGGGGAGAGAGAGAGAGACGAAGCGAGAGACTGGAGGCTCAGGAGAGAAGACCGAGATAGAAAGGGAATAGGATGTGGAGGAGAGACCTGAAAATCCCGTTTTATGGCGGGCTAATTGGCTAGTCATATATTTAGTAGCCCAATGTCTGTGACTCTGTAGCATTGTAGCGTTACGTCTTGCCTCTGGGGGGCGCTGTTGCCTCCCACCGTGGCACTCGGCTGACTTCTGTGCTGCTCAACCGGGCCGCCGTGGGGGAGCCCAAACGGCCGCTTGCTCCCCTGCGGCGGCCCAGCTGAGCAGTGCAGAAGTCAGCAGAGCGCCACGGCGGGAGGTGAAGGGGGACGGGGCGGCCCCGCCCCCTGGCTGTGTATGTCACTGCCCCACCCCCCTTCCTCTCCCGCTGGGGTGCTCGGCTGACTTCTGTGCCGCTCAGCCAGGCCTCCGCGCGGAAGCAAGTGGCACAAGAGGCTGTTTGGGCTCTGCGGTCCCCCAAGTGAGAGGCAGGACGGGGGGGGAAGAGAAAGAGACAGAGAGAGAGGCAGGAGGTGGAGAAGAGCTGAAAGAGAGAGGTGGGAGGCAGGAGGAGGAGAGAGAGAGATGGACATGGAGGAGAGACCCAAAAATCCCATTTTATGATGGGCTATTGGCTAGTTCTTAAATCTGTTGGAGATACTCAGACCCTGTAGTATAGGAGGCCACAGGGAAAGACATTTGGGGCTCAGAGAGCAATACTAAAAGAAACAGTGTGACTTACATAAGTAATCATCATCTTGTGGTTCATTTATTTCAGCATACACTTTTCTCTCCCTCTTTCGCAAGCTGTAGGTGTTAACTTGGGTGTTCTGCCCCTGGGCTTTAGAAACTGCTACCCTGGGTAGAGCTGAAGAGGGTAGGTTAATACTGTGCGGTTCCAGAACTGATAGCAATAACTAGGCAGTGACATTTTCAGGCCCAAATCTCATTTATATTGAGGCTGCTTTACACAGCTAAATGGCTATAGGGTATGTAAGAGTCAGGCCCTTTGCACACGAAAAAATGCATAAACATGAGCCATACGGCAGTTTCTAGGAACAGAACACTAAAAGCCACTGTTGACACTTTCTGACTATAATTAACTAAGTAGTAACATTGCCTCCTTAAATTAGTGTCTAGTTTAGTGCTCTGCACTCAGTGCCAACAGCCACCCTGAAATGGTCTAGTATGAGTGTGACATAGTGGGGACTGTAGTCACTCTGTTTGCCTTGTTGCATTGTATGTGATTCTACTGTCCTGTCCTGTCCTGTCCTGTCCTGTCCTGTCCTGTGTGTGCGTGTGTGTGTGTGTGTGTGTGTGTGTAGAGTGCCCAGCGGGGGATCGGATCTGTGGGTGAGGACTCCTGAAGGGAGGCTGGTAGGGAATGTCCCAGGTCTCCTGTCACCTGATCCTAGGGGAAAATGCAACCAGGATAAAGATAACACCTTGGGCCCTGGGAATCTGAACAAAGAAGGGGATGGGGCTACCTAAAGGGCTGAGACCCACGGCTGGGTGTGTGAATTAGGGAGAAGGGAGTCTAGCTGGGTTGGGGGGGCCAGGCAGGGGCCCAGAACCAGGGCTCTGGGTCCCTTTTACAGCCAAGTTGGATTGTACTGAATGCTCCAGGTTCCTGTAACAACAAGTCTGTGCTACATCAGTGAATAGCAGTGAAGGTCAGTGAATAAACCTTCTGTTCTACTTTCTGCTGAGAGTCACATTAGGCTGCGGATGGGGGTGCAGGGCCCGGGGACTCCCCCACACTCCCTGACAATGAGAGAATCCAGACCCGAGCAAGACAGCAGTTAAAGGCCAGTCTATGTCCTTTGCATTGGCAGGCTGGACTCAGCCCGGGTTAGAGGTCTTCCTGGTTTCTTATGGCAACAACAGGAGTGCCGCAAAGGCTCACTCTGCCTTTTGTCACAGGGGTCCGAAGGGAATCCCATCAGGTTGGTGGTGTCAGCGGGGGTGCTAAGAGATGGAGTGTTGATCAAGAGAAGGGATGGACTCTCAGGGGTGTCTGCCCAGCAGGGCTAAAGTGGAATTAAGCTACATCAATTGCGTAGCTTAAGTCAAAATAGCTTAATTCGGCTTTTGGCGCTGTCTACACAGTGGGAAGTTGAAGGAAGGACACTTTTCCTGTGACTTCCTTTACTCCTCCAGCTCGACATTGTGAGGCAGAGTTCGATTATTTTGAAATAAAGGCTTGCTATTCAGAAATAATGCTGCTGTGTAGACATAGCATCAGGGACTGAGGACTCAAAGGGAAATGCAGCGGTAAGTATAACTGTGGTATTCACTATAATGAAAGATATTTCCATGTTGCTACCGATAAAGGGAATTACATGTCACTCTCGAAACCCTGGAATGCACCTAATCTCATAGGCTGCAGACCTGACAGTCCTCAGAGCTATCATGAAAACACAGAGCTTTCCCCCATGTTCTGGACTTACCAGTTTTCAGGTCAGCAACATTAGTGGCAGGTATTCTGGTGCACACCTCTGATTTTTTGTCCAGTTTCTCAGTGTCTGTTAGATTCTCAGAGGCTTCCTTCTTAGAGGCCTTCTCCAGCACTCTCTCTTTATTCTGAACACAAAGTTATTTTCCATAACAATTACCATACTGCTCTGGTTTGCTCAACCCAGAACCTGTACTGTGGGGAAACTAACAGCAAAGACTACAAAAGGCAGGCGGCCACGTAGAACTAAGTCGTCCCACTGCAGCAAAGGAGTCTTCAGGCACGGCACCGCAGTTCTCCCCAAACTGTACTCTCCACTGACAGTCGTAGTGATCTCTTTTCCCATAACTTGGTCTTCTTGCTCATTCCAGAAAGCCCAGATTCCTCACCAAAGAGTCTTAGGGCCCCCAATCTGAGGTCTATGGGCCTCACATTCTTTCTTCAAAGTTTTCTAACGTCCTTTCCCATTCTCTGGGCTCAGATCACCTTATCAGTGTCAGAAGGGGAGTCTGAGTTCTCCCACTACACCTGGTCCCAGCCCAGAAGCCTTCAGCCAGCAATGCAAATCCACTCCTTGCTGCTGCTGCCATTTGCTTAGGCTTCTTCCTAGCTAGTAGCTAGGCCTACGTCTACGCTGAGGAGTTTTTGTGCAAAAACTCATGGAGCGCCCACACTACAAGCGCGTACATGTACAGGAGATCGTCAGAAGACAGGGCTTTTTGTACAAGCGTTATTCCTCTTTCTATGAGGAACAAGCCATGGAAGAGCAAAAGCAAAAATAAGAGCAAGAGCTCTTGCATGAAAAGGTGTGCGTGGATGGACAACAGGGCTTTCTTGCGCAAGAAACCCCTATCAGAAAAAGCACAGGTGCTCTGATGGCCATTCTGTGAATGGCCATCAGAGCTTTCTTGCTCAAGAGCATCCATGGCAGTGAGGACGCTCTCTGGCACAAAAGCACCTGGCAGTGTGAATGCACTCTTGTGTAAAAGCACCTGGCAGTGTGGACGCGCTCTTGTGTAAAAGCACATGGCAGTGTGGACGCACTCTTGTGTAAAAGCACATGGCAGTGTGGACGCACTCTTGTGTAAAAGCACATGGCAGTGTGGACGCACTCTTGTGTAAAAGCACATGGCAGTGTGGACGCACTCTTGTGTAAAAGCACATGGCAGTGTGGACGCACTCTTGTGTAAAAGCACATGGCAGTGTGGACGCACTCTTGTGTAAAAGCACATGGCAGTGTGGACGCACTCTTGTGTAAAAGCACATGGCAGTGTGGACGCACTCTTGTGTAAAAGCACATGGCAGTGTGGACGCACTCTTGTGTAAAAGCACATGGCAGTGTGGACGCACTCTTGTGTAAAAGCACATGGCAGTGTGGACGCACTCTTGTGTAAAAGCACATGGCAGTGTGGACGCACTCTTGTGTAAAAGCACATGGCAGTGTGGACGCACTCTTGTGTAAAAGCACATGGCAGTGTGGACGCACTCTTGTGTAAAAGCACATGGCAGTGTGGACGCACTCTTGTGTAAAAGCACATGGCAGTGTGGACGCACTCTTGTGTAAAAGCACATGGCAGTGTGGACGCACTCTTGTGTAAAAGCACATGGCAGTGTGGACGCACTCTTGTGTAAAAGCACATGGCAGTGTGGACGCACTCTTGTGTAAAAGCACATGGCAGTGTGGACGCACTCTTGTGTAAAAGCACATGGCAGTGTGGACGCACTCTTGTGTAAAAGCACATGGCAGTGTGGACGCACTCTTGTGTAAAAGCACATGGCAGTGTGGACGCACTCTTGTGTAAAAGCACATGGCAGTGTGGACGCCCTCTTGCTCATAATCATATTTGCTTTTTTGCAACAGCGTAATACTGTTGACTCCTATTTAGCTTGTGGTCTAGTCTGACCCCTAGATCCCTTTCTGCAGGACTTCCTCCTAGACAATCACTTCCTATTCTGTATATGTGAAACAGATTGTGCCTTCCTAAGTGGAGTACTTTGCAGTTGTCCTTATTAAACTTCATCCTCTTTACCTCGGACCACATCTGCAGTTTGTCCAGATCATTCTGATTGTGTTTTACCCTCTCCTCCAAAGCACTTGCAACCCTTCCCAGCTTGGGATCATCTGCAAACTTAATAAGCATCCTCTCCATGCCAATTTCCAACTTGTGGATAAAGATATTTAACACAACCGGTCCCCAAACAGACCCCTGTAGAACCCCACGTGTTCAGTCATTCCAGCAGGATTGTGAAATGTTAATAACGACTCTCTGAGAACAGTTCTCCAGCCAGTTATGCACCCACAGCTCTGACATTCCTAGGAAGTGTCACAATAATTATTGAATTATTAATTGAATCAGCAGATTATATAGCATCTAAAAAGCACTTTATGTTCATATTGCTATAGAGGCATTTGTTAATTAACCTCATCTAGCAAAAAGTACTCAGTAAGCTTACGTGATTGATGTTTTGCTGTTTCTTTTTTTCCTTTTTCAAGCTGTCCGATGTACGTGGTGGCCTGAAGGTTTTAACTGTAAGTGTAAACAAACCAAACACGTTCCCAAATGCTGCATAACCAACATTACTGCAATTGTAGTGCCACAGGCGGGAAGCTGCCAGCTGTTTCATGTTCTGACTTACTATCACAGAAATCAGAGATGGAGGAGCCCTATAAGAAAGTAATCTTAGCCCTCCCTCCGCAGCCACTACTGGCTGTTACAATATCACTGATTTCAGTGTGGGAGAGTAACAAAGAGAGAGGACAGGATGTTAAACTAATGTTTTTTATGTAGGAAACTGCTCTTCACTCATCATCATCCACTATACAAATGAGCAATACTCATCCCATTATGGGTCTGTCTACACTACCCCGCTAGTTCGAACTAGGGTGGCTAATGTAGTCATACGAACTTGCAAATGAAGCCCGGGATTTGAATTTCCCGGGCTTCATTTGCATGTTGCCAGGTGCCGCCATTTTTAAATGTCCGCTAGTGCGGACTCCGTGCCCGCGGCTCCACGCGGCACGAACTAGCTAGTTCAGACTAGGATTCCTTTTCCGAACTATCGTTACACCTTGTGGTTCAAACTAGGGTGGTAGTGTAGACATACCCTATGATAGTAGACATACACACGGCTCCCTCCCTCCCTACTGCCCCCTATGGGGCCTCTTCCCTTCCCACTGCTCCTGGGGCTGGGGAGGCTTGGGCTGGCTTGGAGTGGGGGCTCCTCCCTCCATGCTGCTCCTGGGTGTGGGGAGGTTCAGGCCAGGCAGCCTCTTCTCCCCACTGCTCTGGGGATGCTGGGGCACGTGTGCACTTTTCCCCTTCCCGTGGTTGGGACGGGGCCTCAGCAGAGGGGACGGGGCTGTAGGTGGGGCTGGGGGCCTGCCTCCCCTAGGAACTTCTAAGTCTTCTCAAATATTCTCTGAGACAGCATAAGGGACGCCTCTCCTTTTGTAAGAGTCTAGAACAGATAGAGATAACATACAGAGTGAGTGCTTGAAGCCCGCGCGACTAAGCAGCAGTTTGAATCTATATGAAACATTAAGCTCCCATGTAACACAGGTGTCCCACAGTGGTTTAGACCCTTTACACTTCTCTGTCCATGTTGCACATTCCCTGCTGTCTTGCCGCTGCCATAGAACGTTTGTGAGTACAGAGTAAACTGTTCACTTTCTAACCCAAATGCCCCACACTAGAGCAGGAAGAGCTTCATGTTTCCATCCTTGTGGTAGATTAAAGTGTCTAGTTGAGGATCTCCAAAATAATTGTCTCCTGTTCTCCAGGGTGGGAATGGTGGAAAGTGCAACACGAGACCTTTGAGTCTGGGGACTGCGTGGGAAGCAGCTGATTCCCCTAAGAATATTTTAACTAGTGGAGATGCCCAGGAAAGGTAGCTCATTTAAGTGAAGAGTCACTTCTCTGCTCTGTTACCTAAAGGTTTAGGAGTCCAGTCTTCATCCGACTCAGAGTCGTAAATGATGGGGTTTCGGGGCCATCGACCACGACACATAAATGCAGGTTTTGGGGTAGGAAGGCCTAGCAAAGAAATCCATTATAAGCAGTAGTAGGCAGCTGATGTGATCTGAATCTCTCTCATGCAATAAGCCATCTTCCCAACTCCTTGCATTGGAAAAACAGGCACGGGAACTTGGTGACAAGCTATCTGTTCCAATCTGGAAAACATGTGAGGCTGCCTGGCACTTCAGGACCCTTACTGCCCAGGCCAGAGGGCCTGAAGCAGCCTCAAGAGGCTAAAAAGCTCATCATAGAATCAGTCAATGGAGAAGCCAGCACATTCACCTAAGTCTGAAATATGAGGTGCAGAGTGTGTTTCCTACACCAGGGCTACGTCTACACTGGCCCCTTCTTCGGAAGGGGCATGTTAATTTCAGCAATCACAATAGGGAAATCCGCGGGGGGATTTAAATATCCCCCGCGGCATTTAAATAAAAATGTCCGCCGCTTTTTTCCGGCTTTTAGAAAAGCCGGAAAAGAGCGTCTACACTGGCCCCGATCCTCCGGAAAAAGCGCCCTTTTCCGGAGGATCTTATTCCTACTTTGAAGTAGGAATAAGATCCTCTGGAAAAGGGCGCTTTTTCCGGAGGATCGGGGCCAGTGTAGACGCTCTTTTCCGGCTTTTCTAAAAGCCGGAAAAAAGCGGCGGACATTTTTATTTAAATGCCGCGGGGGATATTTAAATCCCCCACGGATTTCCCTATTGCGATCTCTGAAATTAACATGCCCCTTCTGGAAAAGGGGCCAGTGTAGACGTAGCCCAGATGTATATGTTGGTTTCTCTCTGTTAAGTCTACACTTAAAGCATGAAACTGCGGCCAGAGCAGCGCTTTGAACTGAAAGTATGACCCCGGCACCATAGAGCTCTCCCAATGTTCTTTGTAAACCACCCAGTCCATTTACCCTTTACAGCGCTGGAAATTGCTGCACTGGGGGGAAGTGAGTTTTTTTTCACAATTCAGAGCCAGAGTTGCAGCCCTGTAAAGTGGCCATGTAGACATGGCATAAAGTTTTATTTACACTGCCAATCGAACAACAAAACTGTTGTCGTTCACAAGTGCTTAACCCCCCAGCCCTCCACCGAAAGACAAGTTTTGCAGTGGCAAGAAGCAGTGTAAATAGTTAATAGTCAAGTGGAGTGCTCTCCTGTGGACAACATGAACCTTACTCATTGGGGATATGCACACACACAGCATTTACACTTCCTGGCCACATGACCGTGTCACTAAAAGCTGTGTAGAGTAGACAAAGCAGTAGAGGAGGACAAAATACACCTTCAACTCTCCAGCTGCCTGTGCCACTAGGAATCACGTTTTTCACCCAAAGCTGGCTCCCTCACCTAATGCAACCATAAACTCATAATTCTGCTTCATGTTCCTGTAGCGGGTTTTCTCCCAGTCTCCCATCTCTGCCCATTGGTCCTTAGGGAAGTAGATGGACACCTCTTGGAATTCATCTTTCACCTAGTCAAGAGAATAAAAGTGCCACTAGTCACAATCGGAATTTTTTCCCCAAAAGAGAACACTTGCAAAGCAGTAGACTTTCCTTTCTTCCCTTGCAGGAGGAATAACAGGTAGTTGTATTTAGGGCTTTAATTCAAAATACCGGGTCCCTGCCGCGTGTAGATGTGGGCCGTTAGTCCGGACTTGTACATTTCAAAAAATGGTGACCAGCTGGGAAGATGCAAATCAAGCTCGGGATATTTAAATCCCAGGCTTGATTTGCAACTTCGAATGCCTACATTAGCCTCCCTAGTTCGAACTAGTGGGCTAGCGTAGACATACCCTTAGAGTTCTTTGAAGGGGTTAACAAAAATGTGGACAAGGGGATCCAGTAGATATAGTATACTTGGATTTTCAGAAAGCCTTTGACAAGGTCCCTCACCAAAGGCTCTTGTGTAAATTACAGTGTCATGGGATAAGAGGGAAGATCCTTTCATGGATTGAGAACTGGTTAAAAGACAGGAAACAAAGGGTAGGAATAAATGGTAAATTTTCAGAATAGAGAGGGGTAACTAATGGTGTCCCCCAAGGGTCAGTCCTAGAACTAATCCTATTCAACTTATTCATAAACGATCTAGAGAAAGGGGTAAGCAGTGAGGTAGTAAAGTTTGCAGATGATACTAAACTGTTCAAGATAGTCAAGACAGAAGTAGACTGTGAAGAGAGAGCTTCAAAAAGATCTCACAAAACTGAGTGATTGGGCAACAAAATGGCAAATGAAGTTAATGTGGATACGTGTAAAGTAATGCACGTTGGAAAAAATAACCCCAACTATACATATAGTATGATGGGGGCTAATTTGGCTACAACAAATCAGGAAAGAGATCTTGGAGTTATCGTGGATAGTTCTCTGAAAACCTCCACAGAATGTGGTGTGGCGGTCAAAAAGGCAAATAGGATGTTAGGAATTATTAAGAAAGGGATAGAAAATAAGACACAGAATATCTTACTGCCCCTGCATAAAACTATGGTACGCCCACATCTTGAGTACTGTGTACAGATGTGGTCTCCTCACCTCAAAATAGATATTTTGGCCTTGGAAAGGGTTCAGAAAAGGACAACTAAAATGATCAGGAGTTTGGAACAGGTCCCATGTGAGGAGAGGCTAAAGCGACTGGGACTTTAGTTTGGAAAAGAGGAGAATGAGGGGGGATATGATAGAGGTCTATAAAATCATGAGTGGTGTGGAGAGGGTGAATAAAGAAAAGTTATTCATTAGTTCCCATAATATAAGGACTAGAGGTCACCAAATGAAATTAAGGGGTAGCAGGTTTAAAACTAAGTGAAAGTTCGTCTTCACACAGTGCATAGTCAACCTGTGGAACTCCTTGCCAGAGGAGGGTGTGAAGGCTAGAACTATAACAGAGTTTAAAGAGACGCTAGATAAATTCATGGAGGTTAGGTCCATAAAAGGCTAATAGCCAGGGGGTAGAAATGGTGTCCCTGGCCTCTGTTTGGAGATGGATGGCAAAAGACAAATCGCTTGATCATTGTCTTTGGTCCTCCCCCTCTGGGGCACCTGATGCTGGCCACTGTCGGCAGACGGGCTACTGGGCTAGATGGCCCTTTCGTGTGACTCAGTACGGCCGTTCTTATGTTCTTATGTTCAGTGCTGCGAGTCTCAGCCCATGGCTCTTGCTTCCCAAGGCATAGGGATACATGCTTCTTCCTCTGCAGGTGGAATCCCAGCCAGTTCTGCTCCAGTCGACTCGCTGTGGTGCCCCAGATGCTCTCCCCTCCTGCAATGGGGAAGACAAATTTCCCAGCTCCCCCTGGGGGCCATCTGCTTACAGCAGCTGCTTTCCTGGACTCCTCACCTTGGAATTTTCCCTTGCTTTCCTGCTTTTTAGCACTTTCCTCTTTTCTGGTGCTTTCCCTTCTCCAGCATTCTCTCCCATGGTGCCTAACAATTTGCCCGGTACACTCTGTAAGGGGATAGTGAAATGAGGGCCCTATGCCCAGGAAGGTATCACTTCTCTTTATGCAGTTCAGCCTTTTGGGGGGTCTTTGTGGTTCAGCTTGAATTGGGGTCCTCCTGCCCCAGAGGTTTTCCCGAGTTTGGGGTGTACCCCTGTCATCCTATGAGTCTCAGCCTGGGCTGGCGTGCCTCGCCTCAGCTCCTGAGGCTAAGCCCAGGCAGGTATTTCATGCCTTGGCCCCAAGCAGCCTCAGCATGAGTTTGCATCTCTCCCCGTGGCCCCTGGGGCCTTTATAACATAAGGATACAGAGGAGACAAGGATACAGAGGAAGTAGAGAGTAAGGTAGGCTGGATAATTTGCTCATCTTGACATGTGAGCACAGACATGCAAATATCTAAGGCATATTAATATTTGTTCAGCTCTTGTGGAATTTCAGTGGAGGGCACATACTTTCGGTAGCGTAGTGGGGGTGCTGTCTGCTCTGTATCCCAGGGTCCCCCTGAGCTGTGATGTATGAGTCCCACTGACTCACCCATATGTTGTGATGTAGTGTCAGTACCTTGCTGGTTGCTGTGTTTGGGTTGTGGGTTGTGGATGACCCCTACTGGCCTCTGCCTGTGAGCACTGTCCAGCAGGTGGGCTGCCTAAGTCACATAGACAAAGACCCAACCGGTCAGAGGAGTTGGGGGCAGCGAGGGAACTAGGGAAGTAAGTGTTCGGGGGAAGGGTCAGTGTGGGGCTAGGGAGGGGGCTTGGAGACTAGGGTCTCAGGCATCCCACTTTAAGGGGCCTGGGGCATCCTAGCCTTACTCCTATTGCTACATCACGTCTATGCTGTGCTGTATTCTGGAAAATCAATAAACTCCTCTCTATTCTGCTGGCTTTTGGAGACTGTTCTGACTGCTACGGGGGTGCAGGATCCGGGGAATCCCGACTGTGCCATCACACTTTCAAACAGCCTTTATGACCTGAGCCACACCACAAAGAGGTCAGTGGAATGACTCTCAATGTCTACAGTGGGCTTAGGATTAGGGAAGAGCTGTATATATGTAGATGGGAGCAGTGGCATTAGAGGTGCCCAGGAATACCAGGAACAAGCATAATATGAAATTCTGGGGACAGAGTATCCATCCAACACCTCTTACAAACATTCAGTGTGTGCTTTCTTCAGTGCTGCCTTTGAACACCAAGACCAAAGCACAGAAGTGGGAGGATTGGTTCTTGGCCCTCCTCAACAAGATATCCCCTACATGGAGCAGAACATAACCTAGAGATCACAAAAATTTCCTGTGTCACCTCATGAAAGTTCCTTCACTTCCCTATGTGCATCCTTTACCAACAAAATAAACAAATCTACTCCCTGGAATAGACGCGAGAGGGAATTAATGTTTATGAAATGGCTGAGATCATAAATATGAGGTGCTGTAGATGTTTATATTTCTAAAGCAGTTGTCCCTTCCATGCTAAGGCAGATGTGATGAATCCTGATCAAAGACAGGTAACCATGTCCTGATCATTGACACCAGCATTTCTTAAAGTGAGTTCTGCGGCATACTAGTGTTCTATGAGGCAGTTGGAGGTGTGTCATGGAGAACAGAGTTCAAAATGGCCACCTTTAAAAGGGCAATGCCTGCTCTCCTGATAAAAGGGCAAACTGTTTGGTGGGTTTTTTTCAACTTCTTTTCCTTCGGGCTGGGGTCTCTCCCCTGGGCCCCTGGGGCT